CCAGAACTAAATTTCCCTTCGCGCAGAAACTGTCTGAAGGATTGTTATTCCTTTGTATTTATTTCTTATGTTTTGTCGTGTGGTATCACGCGGTACATGGTATTGTGTGGTATAGAGATGCGGGAAAAGATATCGTGTCGTATTTTGTGGTATTATGTGACACCTTGTGTATTGTGTGAAACTGTATGGTATCTCATATTTTGTGCGGTACTGTGTTGTATTGTCAAGGCACGAAGACGTATTCCATGAGTATCCCATATTTCGTTCGATGGGACTGAGTCAGGCCCCGATTTCTCGACAAAAACTTAAGTTTCTACTCAAATTTGAAACTGTGTTTGATAACTTGAAACAGCTGTATTTTTAACTCAACTGCATTTTTGAAATAAAAAAGTCCAAACAACCTAAGTGATCTATCTACCAAACTCAAAATTTATACTGTTTGAGTTTGATATTGATTTCAGTTCATTCAGGGAAATGCATTTTCCTGCGCTTTCTCAAATTTGAGTAAACACAATAACTTCAGTCAAAACTCAGATTTAAGTTTGTTTCGAGAAATAGGGGCCAGGTGATCTCGATGGCCCCTCAATGACGTCAATACCTGCACTTTGCACGCCACGCTTTCTGTGATCGTAGCAACTGCCCACGGTCACTCACGCCATGCCATGGATAACTTGATATACTTTGCAAAATTTTGGAAGATTCCTAGTAGTTCCAAAATCCTTTTTCATGACGTCTTTGTGTTGCAGATATATGCTTCAAACCATGAAATACATCCTGCTGGTCGCAGTGCTATACTGCATACACGGAGGTACGTTTTTCGTCCTCTGAGGTATCATATTACTAACGAAACAAAATGATGATATATGTATGTGTTTGACGATATTTGGTTGTAGCTTCAAAGGATATTCCGGCGGGACAGTTGTTTCAAACAACATTGTAGTCATATGAATTCAATCGGTTAAAGTGCAACTTTTCTCACTATCAGTGTTCCACATAAAGTATACTTCACTTTGACCTGTGTCAATAATGACATAAACTGAAATTATGAATATGTAATAACCTCCACTGTATATACTGAAGATTCCCACGACACCAGTGAACTCCAAAGTATATACTGTAGACACCGATGACCTCCACTGTATATACTGTAGACACCGATGAGCTCCACTGTATATACTGTAGACACCGATGACCTCCACTGTTTATACTGTAGACACTGATGACCTCCACTGTATATACTGTAGACACCGATGACCTCCACTTTTTATACTGTAGACACTGATGACCTCCACTGTATATACTGTAGACACCGATGATCCTCTACTGTATATACTGTAGACACCGATGACCTCCACTGTATATACTGTAAACACCGATGACCTCCACTGTATATACTATAGACACTGATGACCTCCACTGTATATACTGTAGACACTTATGACCTCCACTGTATATACTGTAGACACCGATGACCTTCACTGTATATACTATAGACACTGATGACATCCACTGTATATACTGTAAACACTGATGACATCCACTGTTTATACTGTAGACACTGATGACCTTCACTGTATATACTGTAGACACCGATGACCTCCACTGTATATACTATAGACACCGATGACCTCCACTGTATATACTGTAGACACCGATGACCTCCACTGTATATACTGTAGACACCGATGACCTCCACCGTTAATACTGTAGACACTGATGACCTCCACTGTATATACTGTAGACACCGATGACCTCCACTTTATATACTATAGACACTGATGACCTCCACTGTATATACTATAGACACCGATGACCTCCACTGTATATACTGTAGACACCGATGACCTCCACTGTATATACTATAGACACCGATGACCTCCACTGTATATACTATAGACACTGATGACATCCACTGTATATACTGTAGACACTTATGACCTCCACTGTATATACTGTAAACACCGATGACCTAGACTGTTTATACTGTAGACACTGATGACCTCCACTGTATATACTGTAAACACCGATGACCTCAACTGTATATACTGTAGATACCGATGACCTTCACTGTATATACTGTAGACACCGATGACCTCCACTGTTAATACTGTAGACACTTATGACCTCCACTGTATATACTGTAGACACCGATGACCTCCACTGTATATACTATAGACACCGATGACCTCCACTGTATATACTATAGACACCGATGACCTCCACTGTATATACTATAGACACTGATGACATCCACTGTATATACTGTAGACACTTATGATCTCCACTGTTTATACTGTAGAAACTGATGACCTTCACTGTATATACTGTAAACACCGATGACCTCAACTGTATATACTGTAGACACCGATGACCTTCAGTGTATATACTGAAGACACCGATGACCTCCACTGTATATACTATAGACACCGATGACCTCCACTGTATATACTGTAAACACCGATGACCTCCACTGTTTATACTGTAGACACTGATGACCTTCACTGTATATACTGTAGACACCGATGACCTCCACTGTATATACTATAGACACCGATGACCTCCACTGTATATACTTTAGACACCGATGACCTCCACTGTATATACTTTAGACACTGATGACCTTCACTGTATATACTGTAGACACCGATGACCTCCACTGTATATACTATAGACACCGATGACCTCCACTGTATATACTTTAGACACCGATGACCTCCACTGTATATACTTTAGACACTGATGACATCCACTGTATATACTGTAAACACCGATGACCTCCACTGTTTATACTGTAGACACTGATGACCTTCACTGTATATACTGTAGACACCGATGACCTCTACTGTATATACTATAGACACCGATGACCTCCACTGTATATACTTTTGACACCGATGACCTCCACTGTATATACTGTAGACACCGATGACCTCCACTGTATATACTGTAGACACTTATGACCTCCACTGTATATACTGTAGACACCGATGACCTTCACTGTATATACTATAGACACTGATGACCTCCACTGTATATACTGTAGACACTTATGACCTCCACTGTATATACTGTAAACACCGATGACCTCCACTGTTTATACTGTAGACACTTATGACCTCCACTGTATATACTGTAAACACCGATGACCTCCACTGTTTATACTGTAGACACTGATGACCTCCACTGTATATACTGTAAACACCGATGACCTCCACTGTATATACTGTAGATACCGATGACCTCCACTGTATATACTGTAGACACCGATGACCTCCACTGTATATACTATAGACACCGATGACCTCAACTGTATATACTGTAGACACCGATGACCTCTACTGTATATACTGTAGACACCGATGACGTCCACTGTATATACTGTAGACACCGATGACCTCCACTGTATATACTGGAGACACCGATGACCTCCACTGTATATACTGTAGACACCGATGACCTCCACTTTATATATTGTAAACACCGATGACCTCCACTGTATATACCATAGACACTGATGACCTCCACTGTATATACTATAGACACCGATGACCTCCACTGTATATACTATAGACACTGATGACCTCCACTGTATATACTATAGACACTGATGACCTCCACTGTATATACTGTAAACACCGATGACCTCCACTGTATATACTGTAGACACCGATGACCTTCACTGTATATACTGTAGACACCGATGACCTCCACTGTATATACTATAGACACCGATGACCTCCACTGTATATACTGTAGACACCGATGACCTCCACTGTATATACTGTGGACACCGATGACCTCCACTGTTAATACTGTAGACACTTATGACCTCCACTGTATATACTGTAGACACCGATGACCTTCACTGTATATACTATAGACACTGATGACCTCCACTGTATATACTATAGACACCGATGACCTCTACTGTATTTACTATAGACACTGATGACATCCACTGTATATACTGTAGACACTTATGACCTCCACTGTATATACTGTAAACACCGATGACCTCCACTGTTTATACTGTAGACACTGATGACCTCCACTGTATATACTGTAAACACCGATGACCTCCACTGTATATACTGTAGACACCGATGACCTCCACTGTATATACTATAGACACCGATGACCTCAACTGTATATACTGTAGACACCGATGACCTCCACTGTATATACTGTAGACACCGATGACCTCCACTGTATATACTGTAGACACCGATGACCTCCACTGTATATACTGGAGACACCGATGACCTCCACTGTATATACTGTAGACACCGATGACCTCCACTGTATATACTGTAGATACCGATGACCTCCACTTTATATACTGTAGACACCGATGACCCCCACTGTATATACTGTAGACACCGATGACCTCCACTGTATATACTGTAGACACCGATGACCTCCACTGTATATGCTGTAGACATCGATGACCTCCACTGTATATACTGTGGACACCGATGATCTCAACTGTATATACTGTAGACACCGATGACCTCCACTGTATATACTGTAGACACCGATGACCTCCACTGTATATACTGTAGACACCGATGATCTCAACTGTATATACTGTAGACACCGATGACCTCAACTGTATATACTGTAGACACCGATGATCTCCACTGTATATACTGTAGACACCGATGACCTCCACTGTATATACTGTAGACACCGATGACCTCCACTGTATATACTGTAGACACTGATGACCTCCACTGTATATACTGTAGACACCGATGACCTCCACTGTATATGCTGTAGACACCGATGACCTCCATTGTATGTACTATAGACAGTAATGACTTCCCCATTCTTAATTACTGTAGACACTGGTTATTCTGCAGATAGTGATGATGTTTATTATGCATACACAGTGTCACTACTACTATTACTGACTGTATAACTCTTTACAATGCCATGGTGTCTACTTGAAAGGGGAAGCAAATGTTCCACCCAAAATCTCGGCACAGACCGTCTTCCAAATGCCGGAAAACACGACGAACGGTAAGTACTCACCTCAAATATAGCACGAAAGGTCACTATGTACTTTTACAATTGTTACTAGAGCAAATACGCAAATTTCTACCTTGATCAGTACTTTAATAAGAGTTTCGCATATGTTCTTAAAAGATTCAAACTGCTTCATAGGTGGATCGTGTGAAGATTTTGACTTTGCACAGGTTGCTTCACTGTAATGAATCAACAATCGATAAATCGATAAGTTAGTTGCTTTGTTTACTGCAGTTGAATATGACTTTATCGTTATAAGTAAAATGATTCAAGTTTGGTTAGTTAAGCTGATTTGATATAACATTACTTTTGTCGGATGTGTCAGTTTCATAGTAAGTAGATTTGTGATGTCAAACAATATATTGTCTTATATTGATCACACACCAACAGCCTCTACCACACTATACTGACTGTCATGGTGTACAGGTACCTTCCTCTTCGATATAAGCGCCACTGACGATGCCGTCGACCCTGTAATCGACATAAGATCGGATGAAGTCAGCCATATAGTGAGACTGGAGAACATGAGATACGGAAGTCATGTCACGAACGCGTCTGTAGTACTGAACAATATGGTAGACAGAGAGACGGTAAGTCTGTACACGTCAGTATCATTACTTTACAATATGGTAGACAGAGAGACGGTAAGTCTGTACAAGACAGTATCATTACTGGTCAAAAGTGTTCACAGGGATAGTGAAATGGTAGACTCATCTATACTCTCACACCATTTGTGAGACAAGAGCGCAGGAACACAGAGATGTGTTTTGATTCATTTTAGGTTTATCAGGTTTATCGCAATGAGTTTCTGCAAGATTGTCAGTATGGTGTAAATCAGTAATCACCAATTCATTAAATTCACACCGAATTCTTGTCTTCCGTCTCAACAAATCTTTCGTTTGCTTTAGCCAACAATCCCATATTTGGTGTGACAAATGACACATGAGAGCTAACAACATTTTTAAGTATTTATTGAAAATAATACTCGTATGCCACAAAATGCTGGTAACAGACGTTGGCTACAACTCATCTATACAAAGTCCACTTCATTACAGAAAGCTATTACACCAGATTTAATCACTTATACAACCAAGTCCTCTAATCTAAGGACCAGAAAGAAACAGATTCACTGTTTTGTAATTTAACAATGATCCATTGCTTACACCTGAAAAGAACATAACTACCTGTAGAAACTCACCAAAAACTCAGCATACGTACACTCACCGTCATCCTCGGGTCATGGTTGCACGTCTTGTACCCAGCTGGGCGTAACACATTCATTAATTACTCGCCCGTTTAAACCCGTCCTTAAATCTGTGATCAAACTTAGTGCTAGCGAAAAGGTGACCGTAACTTGCCACACTGGTTAAATTATTGTTTCATATTTCTCCGTGTGTAAATATGAAAGTCGAAATAGAATTATTTGTGTATTTATGTAGTTCTTTCGTTCTCCCTTGATACCCTCTGACTTCCCACATGAAGCTGATACGCTGTATAATAACTGGAGCGGGGTTCTTTGTATCTGAAGCTGTAAACCTCCGGGTTAGAATTGTCTTCGGTAACCCATGCTTGTTGTAAGAGGCGACTGGCAGGATCGGGTGGTCAGACTCGCTGACTTGGTTGACACATGTTTTCATCCCAATTGCGTAGATCGATGCTCATGCTGTTGACCACTAGACTCGACTATTTACAGACCGCCGCCATATAGATGGAATATTACTGGGTGCGGCGTTAAACAATCAATCAACGAACCAACTTTGCATCTGACTCGACTTCAGAAGTGTCTATGCTGTAGATCTTAATTTTGTAATATCTTATATTTTCAATACTGTACACGGAATAGTGATTGTTCTGTGATACAAATCCCCATGATGAAAGCTTCCCGACTTGCCCGTAGGAATAAACAATGAATCGATCCAAATCCATCTGATTGTGTTAATTATATTAACGTGAATATCTCTTGCAGGATGGTGCCACAAAGACTTTGATATTCTATGCATATGACGGCGTATATTCGGTAATATATTTTTTCTAAAGAAATATGGGCTATCACGCGAGTGTGTTTGAGATGGTTAACATCCTCCATTAGGAATAAACATTGTATTAAATGAGCACTAACCATCCCAAAACACACGAGTGGGATAACCTATTATCATACAATGGCATTCTTACTTTATAGTTTGAACAAATACTATTTCAATTGCCACAAATCATGAAACTAAACTTCATGGAATGTGCACAGATATCTATGACGTCACAAAATGTGTGTAGTAATACGTTACGCCACAAGCTTGGTGACACAAATTGACTCAGTTGGCAGTAAGTTTATTTATTAAAGCACGTATTGTTGTCAACAAATCTTAGCTTACATTTGAACAATTACAACAAACACGTTTTGAACTTCAGAAACCTTCAGTTAACCTTTTGAACAACAACAAATACACTATTATGATCTGGATTCAAGTACCGTCTGCTCGCTAACACTGACAAATTTGCACTATTTGTATGATCCCAACGGATACCTAAAATATCCGGTGGCCTTGTCCTGCCGAGAACGCTAGATCCATTGTATGATAAATATAATGTCTTCATCAATTCAGACTTTCTTTCCTTCATCTAATTGACACTGCGAGATACGACTTAAATACTGTTTTAACCTGTGTTCTAGCAAGCCAAGTCTTTGAAAATCTAAAACAAATACACTTCGAAATTCAAGAATGATGCCCGGTATTGTTTGTTACTAAATGCTAGAAAAGGACTATGATGATGTTTCTGATGCAGGTGTCGGCGAGGGTCACCCTCATCATTTCGGATGTGAACGACGAGAAACCTGTGTTCACCCAAGCCGGCTACAGGGTCACCGTGATGGAGGTAGGAGGATAGGACTAGTCTGAATACAACCCTTGGGAAGTTCAGGCTGAGCTTCCTCTTCACGAACACCTGATGTAATGCTATTCTAAATGGTAACATTGGAAGTTCAGGCTGAACATCCTCTTCACGAACACCTGATGTAATGCTATTCTGAATGGTAACATTGGAAGTTCAGGTTGAGCATCCTCTTCACGAACATCTGGTGTAATGCTATTCTAAATGGTAACATTGGAAGTTCAGGCTGAACAACCTCTTCACGAACACCTGATGTAATGCTATTCTAAATGGTAACATTGGAAGTTCAGGTTGAGCATCCTCTTCACGAACACCTGATTTAATGCTATTCTGAATGGTAACATTGGAAGTTCAGGCTGAACATCCTCTTCACGAACACCTGATGTAATGCTATTCTGAATGGTAACATTGGAAGTTCAGGTTGAGCATCCTCTTCACGAACACCTGATGTAATGCTATTCTAAATGGTAACATTGGAAGTTCAGGTTGAGCATCCTCTTCACGAACACCTGATGTAATGCTATTCTGAATGGTAACATTGGAAGTTCAGGCTGAACATCCTCTTCACGAACACCTGATGTAATGCTATTCTGAATGGTAACATTGGAAGTTCAGGTTGAGCATCCTCTTCACGAACATCTGATGTAATGCTATTCTAAATGGTAACATTGGAAGTTCAGGTTGAGCATCCTCTTCACGAACACCTGATGTAATGCTATTCTGAATGGTAACATTGGAAGTTCAGGCTGAACATCCTCTTCACGAACACCTGATGTAATGCTATTCTGAATGGTAACATTGGAAGTTCAGGTTGAGCATCCTCTTCACGAACATCTGATGTAATGCTATTCTAAATGGTAACATTGGAAGTTCAGGTTGAGCATCCTCTTCACGAACACCTGATGTAATGCTATTCTAAATGGTAACATTGGAAGTTCAGGTTGAGCATCCCCTTCACGAACACCTGATGTAATGCTATTCTGAATGGTAACATTGGAAGTTCAGGCTGAGCATCCTCTTCACGAACACCTGATGTAATGCTATTCTGAATGGTAACATTGGAAGTTCAGGTTGAGCATCCTCTTCACGAACATCTGGTGTAATGCTATTCTGAATGGTAACATTGGAAGTTCAGGCTGAACATCCTCTTCACGAACACCTGATGTAATGCTATTCTAAATGGTAACATTGGAAGTTCAGGTTGAGCATCCTCTTCACGAACACCTGATGTAATGCTATTCTGAATGGTAACATTGGAAGTTCAGGTTGAGCATCCTCTTCACGAAAATCTGGTGTAATGCTATTCTAAATGGTAACATTGGAAGTTCAGGTTGAGCATCCTCTTCACGAACATCTGATGTAATGCTATTCTAAATGGTAAGATTGGAAGTTCAGGCTGAACATCCTCTTCACGAACACCTGATGTAATGCTATTCTGAATGGTAACATTGGAAGTTCAGGTTGAGCATCCTCTTCACGAACACCTGATGTAATGCTATTCTAAATGGTAACATTGGAAGTTCAGGTTGAGCATCCTCTTCACGAACACCTGATGTAATGCTATTCTGAATGGTAACATTGGAAGTTCAGGCTGAACATCCTCTTCACGAACACCTGATGTAATGCTATTCTGAATGGTAACATTGGAAGTTCAGGTTGAGCATCCTCTTCACGAACATCTGATGTAATGCTATTCTAAATGGTAACATTGGAAGTTCAGGTTGAGCATCCTCTTCACGAACACCTGATGTAATGCTATTCTGAATGGTAACATTGGAAGTTCAGGCTGAACATCCTCTTCACGAACACCTGATGTAATGCTATTCTGAATGGTAACATTGGAAGTTCAGGTTGAGCATCCTCTTCACGAACATCTGATGTAATGCTATTCTAAATGGTAACATTGAAGTTCAGGTTGAGCATCCTCTTCACGAACACCTGATGTAATGCTATTCTAAATGGTAACATTGGAAGTTCAGGTTGAGCATCCTCTTCACGAACACCTGATGTAATGCTATTCTGAATGGTAACATTGGAAGTTCAGGTTGAGCATCCCCTTCACGAAAATCTGGTGTAATGCTATTCTAAATGGTAACATTGGAAGTTCAGGTTGAGCATCCTCTTCACGAACACCTGATGTAATGCTATTCTGAATGGTAACATTGGAAGTTCAGGTTGAGCATCCTCTTCACGAACATCTGATGTAATGCTATTCTAAATGGTAACATTGGAAGTTCAGGTTGAGCATCCTCTTCACGAACACCTGATGTAATGCTATTCTGAATGGTAACATTGGAAGTTCAGGCTGAACATCCTCTTCACGAACACCTGATGTAATGCTATTCTGAATGGTAACATTGGAAGTTCAGGTTGAGCATCCTCTTCACGAACATCTGATGTAATGCTATTCTAAATGGTAACATTGGAAGTTCAGGTTGAGCATCCTCTTCACGAACACCTGATGTAATGCTATTCTAAATGGTAACATTGGAAGTTCAGGTTGAGCATCCTCTTCACGAACACCTGATGTAATGCTATTCTAAATGGTAACATTGGAAGTTCAGGTTGAGCATCCTCTTCACGAACACCTGATGTAATGCTATTCTAAATGGTAACATTGGAAGTTCAGGTTGAGCATCCTCTTCACGAACACCTGATGTAATGCTATTCTAAATGGTAACATTGGAAGTTCAGGTTGAGCATCCTCTTCACGAACACCTGATGTAATGCTATTCTGAATGGTAACATTGGAAGTTCAGGTTGAGCATCCCCTTCACGAAAATCTGGTGTAATGCTATTCTAAATGGTAACATTGGAAGTTCAGGTTGAGCATCCTCTTCACGAACACCTGATGTAATGCTATTCTGAATGGTAACATTGGAAGTTCAGGTTGAGCATCCTCTTCACGAACATCTGGTGTAATGCTATTCTGAATGGTAAGATTGGAAGTTCAGGTTGAGCATCCTCTTCACGAACATCTGGTGTAATGCTATTCTGAATGGTAAGATTGGAAGTTCAGGCTGAGCATCCTCTTCACGAACATCTGGTGTAATGCTATTCTGAATGGTAAGATTGGAAGTTCAGGTTGAGCATCCTCTTCACGAACATCTGGTGTAATGCTATTCTAAATGGTAAGATTGGAAGTTCAGGTTGAGCATCCTCTTCACGAACACCTGATGTAATGCTATTCTGAATGGTAAGATTGGAAGTTCAGGTTGAGCATCCTCTTCACGAACATCTGGTGTAATGCTATTCTAAATGGCAACATTGGAAGTTCAGGTTGAGCATCCTCTTCACGAACACCTGATGTAATGCTATTCTGAATGGTAACATTGGAAGTTCAGGTTGAGCATCCTCTTCACGAACATCTGGTGTAATGCTATTCTGAATGGTAAGATTGGAAGTTCAGGTTGAGCATCCTCTTCACGAACATCTGGTGTAATGCTATTCTAAATGGCAACATTGGAAGTTCAGGTTGAGCATCCTCTTCACGAACACCTGGTGTAATGCTATTCTTAATGGTAACATTGGAAGTTCAGGTTGAGCATCCTTTTCACGAACATCCTCCTCACTAATACCTGGTGTCATCACCAGCAGAAACCATCTTCGTAATTGAAGTGAAGTTTAAAGTCCTTTCGTGAATATCTTATGTCTTGGTCCGTACATTCGTAGTGTTATCATGATAATAAACGCACGTTAAACATGTTCTTCATACTAAACTTGACTTCTGAAAACATACTGGCACCTCTGGCTATGGAGCTTGGTTAAATTGATATCCAAATATGTGCTATGTCAAAAGTCAAAGTCAAAGAGGTTTATTGTACAAAAGGCCTCGGGCCCATATACATTGGATTCATACATATACACTATACGTATGGTGCAATAACCAGTAATTAGTGATCTAAACAGCAAATCATGTTACAGGCAGTAAATTACGCACAAGTAGTGCAATACGATGAGTCTACAAAACATTTGTCAGATTGTTACGTTTAATAAGAGCATAATTAATATAGTACGACAGCTATATTATTACATGCTGGTCAGTTGATGAAAGAAGTAGTCCAAAAGCTAATGAAGGTGGCTTACATAGATAATGTTCAGCTATATATTTCGTACGAAAATCTTCATAAAAAGGACAAACCAGTAAAAAATGAATTCCATTTTCCACATCTAAATTACACAGGAGGCACATTCCCCTGCATCTTTCGATTTACAAGCGTCTTCCTTCGTTTACCACTACATGTGTGTTGATCAAGCCTAACCTAAAACGTATAGGTGGATATCTTAATTTCTTTGATGTTAAAAACGACAGATATTTCTCCGGCTGGAGTAAAGACTTGTATATTCTATAAGAGTCATACCGTGAACTACTGTATTATCTATTACTGAATGCCATTCAAACATATCAAGACTTCTTTCTCGAAACTGGGTTAAAACAAACTTGCATCACCAACTAACTGACTTAACCATACAAAACCATAACCATGTGAAAAAAAAAGGTTTATTGCATAAGATGCCCACATCACTTTACCAATGTTGTCCAAATGAACAAGCATGTTACAAGACTTTTTAGGTAATCTATTTTCTTGTATATATAATATCTTAAACCAGAATCTTATACATCGAATATGGGCATATATATACAGGGGATACCTCCCACATTCACCGTACACCATACAATTCGGTGTAGATGGCCCAACACTTAGGTTTCAATGATAATTCAGTAACAGGTGTTTTCAATTTTTAGTGGATGTAAACTTGATACCAAGATAAGTATAATGACGGTTGGTTATTAAAGGACCAGTTTTCTTTAGAAGATTTCGGCCACCTTTTCTAAATATAACAATATTAGTCTTATCTAGATTAACTGATAGATCCCATGTTTTTTAGTATACCGTTCCAAAATATTCAACTACAGATTCTGATAAAAGAATTACGTCATCAGCAAATAAAAGAATAAAAAGTTCTAAGAGATCTGGAAACATGACCTCACTCTTGGCAGGTATATACTTAGAACTTGTCAGTAAATAGACAAGACATTGCCGGTCTGGCGTTAAATGTGCACTCCCTGACGCAAAGTTGTGAAATGCTCATTCGGTATCTCATAAGATTTGTACGTCATTGTAATCTCTTTGTGACCTCCGTTCTTTATGTTTCTCAAGTCTGCTGTAAAAAATACATCAACAACATTAACAGTAACAGCAACTGATCGTGATTCTGGAATTGGGGGTCAAGTTTACTATGGCTTGGAGGTAAGTGATGACCACCGAATACGACCAAGAGCAGATATGTTCAAAATACGTACCTGTCCTACCCGAGATGTTACAGTCACATGTATATTTATACACCTCCAAACAGGATAAGAACGAATCGATAACGCTTGTTAGAGACAATTTATAACTGACATTTAACCATTTGTAGCCATTTCAGAGCACCAGTTCAGTACCGATAGTAGAATATATGGCATCGTGCGTTCGTGGCATATCACATTGATTTAACTGGTCCTACCTGTGACGAGATACAGTTTGGGGTAGTTGAGTCAGAGACATGTAAACAGTAATTCAGTTGCTCTGATGGCATCATTTTCTTAAGATGGGAGATTTTAACGACATGCTTTACTCTAAATGAGATGGTTTCTGTTGTTTTCCTTGCAGGCCAAGGGCCAGGTGAGTGAACACATTTTGATTTTTACATGTATCTGTCACATAAAGCTATCGATGAGAAGTATCCTGTTTTCTGAAGTTAAACAGTTTCCTGCAATTGTTAATGCCGTGACAGCTCTCCCATTATCACTACTACTACTGCTGTTGCTGATTCTACTTCTTGTACTACCACCATTGCTTCTTGTACTCCTCTTACAGCTCTCCCATTATCACTACTACTACTGCTGCTAAGTACTACTAGTATCAACAGTACTCGTACTACTACTAAAAGGCTACTACAACCCCCACCCTCCTTCGCCTGCTACTGCTTTTGGTCAGTGTAAACTGACGTACGTGATTAATCATTTCGGGTGTGGTCTAATGTTTATGTACTGCCTTTATGAGTATATGCTCCTCGTTTCAAATGCATTGTAATTTCGTCTTTTCAGTGCATTACATATATATCATGTTTCCAGAATGCCGATGACTACAAATACACGTTCTATGTGGAGCCAAGAACTGGCCAGATAATCCAGAATGAAAGTCTGGATTATGAGACAAGGACTTTCTATCAATACAACGTTAAAGCATGGGTAGATATGGTTTGCTGTATATTTCATTGGAATTATGGGTAATTTGCTGTTTGAGATGAGTCCTTTCGCAACAATCCTCTGTGTCCATTTTTGCTACCTGGTTTTGAAATCAAATTCAGTCAGCGTTGTTTAACATAAAATACCAATTTTAATCATAAATAATACTGAAGGTTATGACCTGCAAACAATGTTCTTCCTACTCGACACAAGTACCTGGTCATCAAAGAGATGTTTCTCATTGTGCATGTACAATAGTTAACACCTATTTATACTACGTGTCCTCAGGATGCCAAACCAAATGACATTCTGTATTGACATTATATACTACGTGTCCTCAGGACGCCATTCCACATGGCATTCTGTATCGACATTATATACTACATGTCCTCAGGATGCCATCCTACGTGACATTCTGTATCGACATTTTTAATGCTACTTGTCCTGAGGACACCATCCTACGTGACATTCTGTATCGACATTATATACTACGTGTCCTCAGGACGCCATTCCACATGACATTCTGTATCGACATTATATACTACGTGTCCTCAGGATGCCATCCTACGTGACATTCTGTATCGACATTATATACTACATGTCTTCAGGACACCATCCTACGTGACATTCTGTGTCAACATTATATATTACTTCTGTATTGAAATTGTATACTACGTGTCCTCAGGACGCCATCCTACATGGCATTCTGTATTGACATTATATACTACATGTCCTCAGGACGCCATCCTACATGGCATTCTGTATCGACATTATATTCTGCGTGTCCTCAGGACGCCATCCTATGTGACATTCTGTATCGACATTATATACTACGTGTCCTCAGGACGCCATTCCACATGACATTCTGTATTGACATTATATACTACGTGTCCTCAGGATGCCATCCTACGTGACATTCTGTATCGACATTATATACTACATGTCTTCAGGACACCATCCTACGTGACATTCTGTGTCAACATTATATATTACTTCTGTATTGACATTGTATACTACGTGTCCTCAGGACGCCATCCTACATGGCATTCTGTATTGACATTATATACTACATGTCCTCAGGACGCCATCCTACATGGCATTTTGTATCGACATTATATACTACGTGTCTTCAGGACGCCATCCTACATGGCATTCTGTATTGACATTATATACTACATGTCCCCAGGACGCCAACATTGATGAAGCACTTGGGGTGAACCATGCTGTTCCAGTCGACTTATTTGTTACTGTCCAAGATGTCCAGGACACTCCCCCTGTTTTCACGAACCTGCCGTACATACAACAGATTTATGAGAACGCTTCAGTCGTAAGTGTTGATTTCATCAGAGAATGAAATTTATATGGTATGGAAATCTTATAACAATATACAATACTTTGTTCGATCGGACGAAATCAAACATTTGGTAAAGTAAAATATTATATAATGTAATGTCTCTAGTTCCACGCCAAGGTGACAAAACAAAAAGTGTTGACATACTGTTACATGACACACATTAGATATTATTTTTCATTGTGAATATCCACACGTATATATGGGTATAAAACATTCAGTAGCTACAATATATATTGATCGGTGTATTGCCAAGAAACCAATATTCTACGAACTCAAAGTATCGAATGTAGAAAATACAATAATGTAGTGAAGAATGAACACTGTACGTTCTCTATTTCTGTTACAGGCCAGTTCTGTCCTGTGTGTACAGGCCTTTGATGGAGACATCGGCGTCCCGAATGATCTGAAATACCTGATTGTAGATGGTCAGTAACCTGGTTCTGTTCCTTATTCCCAGATCATTGAGAATGTCGCGTGTTAGCTTTGAGGTGTACATTTGTTTCATTAGTTGTTTGAGACTTAAAAGACTAATTATAACAGGCTGTATACTCTACCTGTATCATATTGTAGATGACATGTAGTTAGGACTTACTATATCAGACTGTATAGACTAACTGTATCAGACTGTTTAGACTAACTCTAACAGATATGATGTCGGTATAACAAGCATCTTAAGAGTCGAAGTCTGTCAGTGGTGATAACATTTGAGACTACCACCAAATGACAATCTTCACCTTCTACCTATCATTATACGTTAACATGGTTAGACAATGGCAGACGTGTTATTTTTCAGACAAGGACTCCTACATCCAAAACTTCATTATACGTTAACATATTTAGACAATGGCAGACGTGTTATATTTCAGACAATGAATCCTGCACCCAAAACTTCAATATACGTTAACATGGTTAGACAATGGCAGACGTGTTATATTTCAGACAATGAATCCTGCACCCAAAACTTCAATATACGTTAACATGGTTAGACAACGGCAGACGTGTTATATTTCAGACAAGGACTCCTACACCCAAAACTTCACTATACGTTAACATGGTTAGACAATGGCAGACGTGTTATATTTCAGACAATGACTCCTACACCCAAAACTTTCATATACGTTAACATGGTTAGACAATGGCAGACGTGTTATGTTTCAGACAATGAATCCTGCACCCAAAACTTCAATATACGTTAACATGGTTAGACAATGGCAGACGTGTTATATTTCAGACAATGACTCCTACACCCAAAACTTCAATATACGTTAACATGGTTAGACAATGGCAGACGTGTTATATTTCAGACAATGACTCCTACACCCAAAACTTCAATATACGTTAACATAGTTAGACAGTGGCAGACGTGTTATATTTCAGACAATGACTCCTACACCCAAAACCGCATTATACGTTAACATGGTTAGACAACGGCAGACGTGTTATATTTCAGACAAGGACTCCTACTCCCAAAACTTTAATATACGTTAACATGGTTAGACAGTGGTAGACGTGTTATATTTCAGACCCTACCTCCTACACCCAAAACTTCAATATACGTTAACATAGTTAGACAATGGCAGACGTGTTATATTTCAGACAATGACTCCTACGCCCAAAACTTCAATATACGTTAACATGGTTAGACAATGGTAGACGTGTTATATTTCAGACAAGGACTCCTACACCCAAAACTTCATTATACGTTAACATGGTTGGACAATGGTATACATGTTATATTTCTGTCAATGAGTCCTACACCCAAAACTTTAATATACGTTAACATGGTTAGACAATGGCAGACGTGTTATATTTCAGACAATGACTCCTACACCCAAAACTTCAATATACGTTAACATGGTTAGACAATGGTATACATGTTATATTTCTGTCAATGAGTCCTACACCCAAAACTTTAATATACGTTAACATGGTTAGACAATGGCAGACGTGTTATATTTCAGACAATGACTCCTACACCCAAAACTTCAATATACGTCAACATGATCAGAAAATGGCAGACGTGTTATATTTCAGACAAGGACTCCTACACCCAAAACTTCACTATACGTTAACATAGTTAGACAATGGTATACATGTTAGACATGGACAATGGTATACATGTTATATTTCAGACAATGACTCCTACACCCAAAACTTCACCATGGACCGAGACACCGACCTCATCATAACGGCAAAAGAACTGGACACTGACTCTGACGAGATGAAACAGAAGGGCGGAGTCTTATCATTTCAAGTTAATGTAAGATATCACTTATAAAGCCTCTTTTACATGCACACATTTACTCCTGTAAGTATATTTACTTGTGGAGTAAATTAATTCACAGGAGTAAAAGTACATTTGCTTTCTGTTCACATGGATATTTAACCATTAAGACATCCCTGGTTTTGAAGAATTTTGGTCTTTCAATCTTCAGATACAAAATGAGTAGGCTGTTGATTTTAAAACGCAGACGAGATCTGCATTATTTAATGACTGCAGGACTTGTCCTTCAAGAACCTGGTGGACAGACATTATGGAACAGGTGACAAGGATGACCATCGTTATCATTATAGTTTTTGCCTCACGCATATAGGCATTTATCTGGCACCTTTGGTGATGACCAGTGGGGAGAGAATTTTCGAATGACTGAAGCAACGTTTGCCGAACTGGGACGCTCATTAGGAAGCGCTGGTAGCAACCTGTAGTGACCTGAATCATTTCGATATCAAAACGTGGAAGCCCCCTTGTCGTAACGATTTGATGTAGCTTACGATGTGTCGCAAATTAGAACATGTCCTATTTCTCACGACAGATGACATGCTACAAGTCCTTTGCTACAGATCGTGTGTAAAGGCACCTTTATCAGTGCATCTTGACAGTGGTACATTATCACAGTAACATCTGCAAACAACGGTGTAGTCGATGAGGCGTCTGTCTTTCACGCCAAAGACCTGGTGAGTCATCCTGGCTGGAACATCTGCGTGGTATCCACGAACAAGGTATCTAAGTCCACACTGTCCCAGTCCACCCAGCTGTAGATGGATACCCGTGAGGATGTGCTGACAATGTCAGCCATTAGCTCTCTAAGCACCTAACAGGCAGCGAGGTTTTATGATCAGCAAGGAGTTGAAAACGTATTGGAACGTGCTGTGATGTCCTACGATGGGGATGGTATAGTATGTAGCGTACTGAGCACGCATAAAGCATGGATATGAGCCAGATATAAGCGACTATCACGTACTGAGGTGCGATATTTTATGCATGAAAAGTGATGTTTTTTCATCATAACCTCCTATGGCACAGGTTGAAAGAAGAATATAAAAGAATCTGACTGTACAACTCACAGGGCTGTTACAAACTACAATCAATGCGTATTACATAATCACTGATGCGGAAAAAGACAATTTAAACAATTGATATATAGTGTAAAAACTTTAAATGAACTATTGAAAAACGAGACTGCTGTCAAATTGACTTCAATGAAGTAGCATCCATATCTTGTAACACTGAATATAAACCTGAAGTGTGCTTCTCACTATATATTAGACATGGCTCCTTTTCCCGGAATAACCGCATTTGAGGTTTTTGTTTGCTCCCAGGTTTTACTTTTTGTATGTAAGACCTATTTTTCGGTTTCACTTTTTGTAAGTAAGACCTCTTCCCAGGTTTTACTTTTTCCTAACTCTATATTAACATCAACATTCAAATTCGGATGATACGTGAGTGTTTGAAATCAATTGAAAAATATCGCCAAAGATCAACTCTAATGTGCAAATATTTTCCCTAGCAGGAATGGAATCAGGGATATATCAGGTTATCAAGCGAGCGCTCTACCTCACGGCCACCGGGCCGTCAAAGAAGCCAGGGTTGAATTATCTATTTATAGTTAGGCCTACTGTCATTAAATTGATTTTACGAGCGCTTCAGTTACTGTTATGTAGCTTCATTACATGATCATCTAATTATCCATCATTGACGGTTTATATGTATAATAAAGCACTCCTCCTCGGTTATGGTTCAGAAAGTAAGCCCTCGACCATCGGGTGGAGAGAGGTAAGACGATGATGAAATGATAGTCCATTTGAAGATATGATGCCAAAAATATACTTACAGGAGCAAATCAAAGTGTCATTTACAAGATCAGTTGTAAAATACTGAATAAATGTGTCGTAACTTCCACAAAACATTTACATCAGTCAACAGATAAGTACACATAAGCGTGAGTGGAGAACACTGTAATGATAACGATGGTCATCCTTGTAACTTGTTCTGTCACTGAGATATGTAACTGAACATAAGGGTCGTACTGCAGGCATCAGAGATTGTCCCCGACAACCAGACACAGCTAGGAGACACCAGCACCGTCACTAGCGTCACCGTGAGCATCCTCGACGTCAACGACAACTCTCCAAATTTCTCCTCCAGCATTATCAACGCTACTGTTTTCGAAAACACCCCTGTTGGCGTCCCTCTCAGCCTAGAAGGCGTTACAGAAGTGAGGGACATTGACATGGTAAGTGGCAAACAGAGGGAACAAGAGGGTAAGGGGTAAGAGTAAGGGGTAAGGGGTAAGGGGTAAGGGGTAAGGGGTAAGGGCTAAGGAGATATGTATACGTAGGACTCGTCCATTAGATACGGAGTTGTGGATTAATGCAGTGTTGGTCTGATTTGGTGGTATTCATTGATTTTACCAACAGGTATGGTTATACGATATATTTCCAGACTGCAGAAAACAATATGTTCGATCTGAGTGTAGAACAGAACGGATCACCTTACATGGACTTCGACACTATACCCGGGAGAGGCGAATCGGTGTCAAGAACAAACGTCATGCTTCGTGTAAACAACTCACAGGTCCTTGACTATGAACAACGTGACACCATCTGGTTCCAGGTAACATATCACAGCATCAGGTTCCAGGTAACATATCACACCATCTAGTTCCAGGTAACATATCTCAGCATCAGGTTGCAGGTAACATATCACAGTATTAGGTTCCAGGTAACATATCACAGTATTAGGTTCCGGGTAACATCACAGTATTAGGTTCCAGGTAACATATCACAGTATTAGGTTCCAGGTAACATATCACGGTATTAGGTTGCAGGCAACATATCACAGTGTCAGGTTCCAGGTAACATATCACACCATCAGGTTCCAGGTAACATATCACAGCATCAGGTTCCAGGTAACATATCACAGCATCAGGTTCCAGGTAACATATCACAGCATCAGGTTCCAGGTAACATATCACAGCATCAGGTTGCAGGTAACATATCACACCATCAGGTTCCAGGTAACATATCACAGCATCAGGTTCCAGGTAACATATCACAGCATCAGGTTACCAGGTAACATATCACAGCATCATCAGGTTCCAGGTAACATATCACAGCATCAGGTTCCAGGTAACATATCACAGCATCACAGCATCATCAGGTTCCAGGTAACATATCACAGCATCAGGTTCCAGGTAACATATCACAGCATCAGGTTCCAGGTAACATATCACAGCATCAGGGTAACATATTCCAGGTAACATATCACAGCATCAGGTTCCAGGTAACATATCACAGCATCAGGTTCCAGGTAACATATCACAGCATCAGGTTGCAGGTAACATATCACAGTATCAGGTACCAGGTAACATATCACAGCATCAGGTTCCAGGTAACATATCACAGCATCAGGTTCCAGGTAACATATCACAGCATCAGGTTCCAGGTAACATATCACAGCATCAGGTTCCAGGTAACATATCACAGCATCAGGTTCCAGGTAACATATCACAGCATCAGGTTGCAGGTAACATATCACAGTATCAGGTACCAGGTAACATATCACAGCATCAGGTTCCAGGTAACATATCACAGCATCAGGTTCCAGGTAACATATCACAGCATCAGGTTCCAGGTAACATATCACACCATCAGGTTGCAGGTAACATATCACAGCATCAGGTTCCAAGTAGCATATCACAGCATCAGGTTGAAGGTAACATATCACACCATCAGGTTCCAGGTAACATATCACACCATCAGGTTCCAGGTAACATATCACAGCATCAGGTTCCAGGTAACATATCACAGCATCAGGTTGCAGGTAGCATATCACAGCATCACATATCACACCATCAGGTTCCAGGTAACATATCACAGCATCAGGTTCCAGGTAACATATCACACCATCTGGTTCCAGGTAACATATCACAGCATCAGGTTGCAGGTAACATATCACTGTGTCAGGTTGCAGGTAACATATCACAGTGTCAGGTTGCAGGTAACATATCACAGTATTAGGTTTCAGGTAACATATCACACCATCAGGTTCCAGGTAACATATCACACCATCAGGTCCCAGGTAGCATATCACACCATCAGGTCCCAGGTAGCATATCACAGTATCAGGTTCCAGGCAACATATCACAGCATCAGGTTCCAGGTAACATATCACACCATCAGGTTCCAGGTAACATATCACAGCATCAGGTTCCAGGTAACATATCACAGCATCAGGTTCCAAGTAGCATATCACAGTATCAGGTACCAGGTAACATATCACAGCATCAGGTTCCAGGTAGCATATCACACCATCAGGTTGTAGGTAACATATCACAGTATCAGGTACCAGGTAACATATCACAGCATCAGGTTCCAGGTAACATATCACAGCATCAGGTTCCAGGTAACATATCACACCATCTGGTCCCAGGTAGCATATCACACCATCAGGTCCCAGGTAGCATATCATAGCATCAGGTTCCAGGTAACATATCACACCATCTGGTTCCAGGTAACATACAAAAGAATCAGGTGGAATGTAACACGTGTTTGTATATTTGTTTCTAGTCCAAAAGGAGCGGCAATTCATTCTGTCAAAAGTGTCTCCAAAATCCGTGAACTAAAAGTGATATTGCTAATGCGTATTATGCCATTGATGTGATAGAGCTTTGAGTACTAGTGTGTGGAATCATTATTTATTGTTGCAAGTGAGTAACGATTCGAGGTTCCGTCACACAATCAAGACATTGTTAAGCAAGATGATATCAATTCAGATTGTGGCGACAGAAACCCACGCCCAGGAGAAGCATTCAAGCACTGTCTCCGTCCTCGTACATATCATTGACACGAACGACAACTCCCCGGTGTTCAACAACTCCTACAACTTCAACATCTCTGAGGGCGATACTGTGGGGACAACTGTTGGGGTAGTGACGGCAACGGACGCCGACAGTGGAGACTTTGGTAAAGTCTTCTATGTGATGGAAGATGACAACGCAGGTTTCAACGTATCGAGGACAGATGTATGTAGAATGATTATGACATATTGTTTACAGAATGATGTAACAGAAATGTAAGTGTATCCTGTAACTGCTACAGTACATGTGCTAAAATTTGTCTTATTTTTCCCAAAATGTGTTGTTATCTATATACTTTCTTGTGAGTTATATTTGGTGATATTTCTTGTGTCCACAAAGATATATTTGCACAGAAGCTGCTGTACGTGTACCTTAAAGTATAATGGCAGTAGGAGTAGTACAGGGCCGTGAGTAGGGGTTGTACAGGGCCGTGAGTAGGAGTTGTACAGGGCCATGATTAGGAGTTGTACAGGGCCGTGAGTAGGAGTTGTACAGGGCCTAGAGTAGGAGTTGTACAGGGCCCTGGGTAGGAGTTGTACAGGGCCTAGAGTAGGAGTTGTACAGGGCCGTGAGTAGGAGTTGTACAGGGCCCTGGGTAGGAGTAGTACAGGGCCCTGGAGTAGGAGAAGTACAGGGCCGTGAGTAGGAGTAGTACAGGGCCGTGATTAGTAGGAGTTGTACAGGGCCGTGAGTAGGAGTTGTACAGGGTACAGGGCCGTGAACAGGGTAGGAGTTGTACAGGGCCGTGAGTAGAGAGTACAGGGTCCTGAGTAGGAGTAGTACAGGGCCGTGAGTAGGAGTTGTACAGGGCCCTGGGTAGGAGTAGAACAGGGCCCTGGATAGGAGTAGTACAGGGCCGTGAGTAGGAGTTGTACAGGGTCCTGGGTAGGAGTATTACAGGGCCGTGAGTAGGAGTTGTACAGGGCCGTGAGTAGGAGTTGTACAGGGCCGTGAGTAGGAGTTGTACAGGGCCGTGAGTAGGAGTTGAGCCGTGAGTACAGTAGAACAAGGGCCCAGTACAGGAGTAGGAGTTGTACAGGGCCATGAGTAGGAGTTGTACAGGGCCTGGGTAGGAGTGTACAGTACAGGCCATGAGTGTACAGGGCCGTGAGTAGGAGTTGTACAGGGCCGTGAGTAGGAGTTGTACAGGGCCGTGAGTAGGAGGGTCCTAGTACAGGGCCGTGAGGCCTGTACAGGGCCAGGGTAGGAGTTGTACAGGGCCGTAGAGGAGTAGGAGTTGTACAGGGCCGTGAGTAGGAGTTGTACAGGGCCCTGGGTAGGAGCCGTGAGTAGTACAGGGCCGTGAGTAGGAGTTGTACAGGGCCCTGGGTAGGAGTAGTACAGGGCCGGAGGAGTTGTACAGGGCCGTGAGTAGGAGTTGTACAGGGCCTGGGTAGGAGTAGTACAGGGCCTGGTAGGGTAGTACAGGGCCGTGAGTAGGAGTTGTACAGGGCCCTGGGTAGGAGTTGTACAGGGCCGTGAGTAGGAGTTGTACAGGGCCGTGAGTAGGAGTAGTACAGGGCCGTGAGTAGGAGTAGAACAGGGTCCTGGGTAGGAGTACAGGGCCAGGGCCGTAGGAGTTGTACAGGGCCCGTAGGAGAGAACAGGCCCCTGGAACAGGGTCCTGGGTAGGTGAGTAGGAGTTGTACAGGGCCGTGAGTAGGAGTTGTACAGGGCCGTGAGTAGGAGTGAGTAGGAGTTGTACAGGGCCGTGAGTAGGAGCTGTACAGGGCCGTAGGAGAGTAGGGTCCTGGGTAGGAGTTGTACAGGCCGTGAGTAGGAGTTGTACAGGCCCGTGAGTAGGAGTTAGTACAGGGCCTGTACAGGGCCCTGGGTGAGTAGCCCTGGATCAGGGCCCTGGATAGGAGTAGTACAGGGCCGTGAGTAGGAGTTGTACAGGGTCCTGGGTAGGAGTATTACAGGGCCGTGAGTAGGAGTTGTACAGGGTCGTGAGTAGGAGTTGTACAGGGCCGTGAGTAGGAGTTGTACAGATTAGAGGAGTTGTACAGGGCCGTGAGTAGGAGTTGTACAGGGCCGTGAGTAGGAGTAGTACATGGCCGTGAGTAGGAGTTGTACAGGGCCGTGAGTAGGAGTAGTACAGGGCCTTAGGTAGGAGTTGTACAGGGCCTTGTAGGAGTTGTACAGGGCCCTGGGTAGGAGTAGTACAGGGCCCTGAGCTTTAGAAGGTACATGATACATAAAGAGAGTGAGCGTAAAGGTTTCAAATCTTTAATAGTCTTCCCAGTCCAACTGAGCTTCCCCGTGCATATGTAGAGATATAGACATATGTTCACAGTGCTGTTCTTGCTGTGCAGGGTGTTATAACTGTTGCAACTGATCTGGATCGTGAAAAAAAGTCGTCCTACTCGTTGTTGGTGCTGGCGTACGACAACGAAGCCGATATTAACGGACGACGTTCTGGACAGACTCGTGTAGAAATACGTCTGGACGACATTAACGACAACCCTCCCATGTTTGAACCTAAACCTGTGGCAATTCCAATTGCTGAGGATATAGCCATAGATACCGTCGTCACCACCGTGTCTGCAGCTGATAAGGACGAAGGCATGAACGCCATGATCGAATACTACATCGCCAACGGGGGTAACCTTACAGACAGATTTAACGTTGACAACGCCACAGGTGATGTTAAACTAGTCGCATCCCTGATCGGCTTTACGGGGACTCGTGCGTTGACCGTAGGAGCCAGGGACAAAGGGGAACCTTCCCTGAATGGGACGCTGCAGATTGTGTTCAGTGTCAAGGACGTTAATCTCAATCCTCCTAACTTCACTCAACCGCAGGGCAACTACAACACTAGCCATCTATTTATACTGGAAGTCCATGAGGTAGGTAGGACACATACTCGTTGTCAATATATAGCAACCTTGCATATCCGATTCCTAGTAAATTCTTAAAGCTGGATTAGTTGGCGATAACCATAAGCATAAATTCAGTTATTGTGAGCAGGAACATAAGCGACTGTTAATAAATCTAGACTGAATATAAATCTAGACTGATTATAAATCTAGACTGAATATAAATCTAGACTGAATATAAATCTAGACTGAATATAAATCTAGACTGATTATAAATCTAGACTGAATATAAATCTAGACTGAATATAAATCTAGACTGAATATAAATCTAGACTGATTATAAATCTAGACTGAATATAAATCTAGACTGAATATAAATCTAGACTGAATATAAATCTAGACTGAATATAAATCTAGACTGATTATAAATCTAGACTGAATATAAATCTAGACTGAATATATAAATCTAGACTGATTATAAATCTAGACTGAATATAAATCTAGACTGAATATAAATCTAGACTGAATATAAATCTAGACTGAATATAAATCTAGACTGATTATAAATCTAGACTGAATATAAATCTAGACTGAATATAAATCTAGACTGAATATAAATCTAGACTGATTATAAATCTAGACTGAATATAAATCTAGACTGAATATAAATCTAGACTGAATATAAATCTAGACTGAATATAAATCTAGACTGAATATAAATCTAGACTGATTATAAATCTAGACTGAATATAAATCTAGACTGAATATAAATCTAGACTGAATAGAATACAGTCTCATCGATACTCACTTTCCCAAATGTTGGATGATAATGAATAAAATTGAAGTTTTGAAATTCGGTTCGGTGGATATATTAGTTCATCTGAAGACCGACGAGTTTTGTTTTCGCATATGTCACAAAAACCCAGTGTAACACTGATATGCTTATCACAAACAGGAGCTTCCCCTACACACTGAGTTGTTCACTGTGATAGCTGACGACAAGGACGACGGGGAAAATGGCAGAGTTCTCTTCAGGATCGATCCTTCAAGGGGAGACGATTGGACTTTCTTCTTTCTGGACAGTGCCTTTGGCAATCTGTCCAACACGAAAAGACTAGACCGGGAAGAAAGAGCAAGTTTCCTGGTAGGTGTTTAGCTTCTGTAACATTTGTAAACACGGTGTCATTGTAGACATTATGTACACTAGGGTAGACGCATACCAAGTAACCGTCGGGATGGACCGGTATTCCTTTTATCAGGACCAGATGTTGCCAAAGTCGCTGACGTGATTTTTTGACGACCCAAACGCAACTTTATTTTCGGCCGTGTATTGTATCGTAAGGGTTATGCAAAATAGTGGCCGCAGCATGCTTGCACAGTAACATGTAAATGTGCTCAACTTCAACAGATGCAGTTGCTCTTACATCCACAGCAATTTCACTTTCTCCTGTCTCTGAATTTCAGATTTTAGTTAACAAGCCTTAACTATGGAATCCTTGAAGGGAGATTGTAGTGTTGCCGCATTGTCGCTGTTACAAATAAAGCAAAACTAGTAAAAATTAACTAAAGTTCGACAATGTGACCACGCGACAATTTGGCCATCAATGTAGAGTTGATCAGCTAATATTTGCAATGGACATGAAATCAAATTTTAATTGATACAAGGTTCACGAAATTCTCTGGATGCTGCTCTTCACGGAATCAAGATGGCGATATACGCATCTTTAGGTGGCATTTCGAAGCTGAAATGTCAATGAAGGCGTAGCTGAAATGCAACTTCGAATAAATATCTTACATCGTCAAAGTGTAAAGGTGTTATGTTGACATACCGAGTTGCCTCTCCTTATCAGGCCGTACTGTTGATGTATAGATGAAGGTGTCTCTCCTTGTGATGCCATATTGTTGATGTATAGATGAAGGTGCCTCTCCTTATGATGCCATATTGTTGATGCGTAGATGAAGGTGTCTCTCCTTATGATGCCATATTGTTGATGCGTAGATGAAGGTGTCTCTCCTTATGATGCCATATTGTTGATGCGTAGATGAAGGTGTCTCTCCTTATGATGCCATATTGTTGATGCGTAGATGAAGGTGTCTCTCCTTATGATGCCATATTGTTGATGCGTAGATGAAGGTGCCTCGCCTTATAATGCCGTACTGTTGATGTGTAGATCGAGGTGTCTCTACTTATGATGCCGTACTGTTGATGTGTGTATGAAGGTGTCTCTACTTATGATGCCGTATTTTTAATGTGTAGATGAAGGTGTCTTTTCTTATGATGCCGTATTGTTGATGTGTAGATGAAGGTGTCTCTCCTTATGATGCCGTACTTCGAATAAATATCTTAAATCATCAAAGTGTATGTTATGTTGATAGATCGAGCTGCCTCTCCTTATGAGGCCGTACTATTGATGATTATTACGAGGTGTCTCTCCTTATGATGCCGTATTGTTGATGTGTAGATCGAGGTGTCTCTCCTTATGATGCCGTATTGTTGATGTGTAGATCGAGGTGTCTCTCCTTATGATGCCGTATTGTTGATGTGTAGATCGAGGTGTCTCTCCTTATGATGCCGTATTGTTGATGTGTAGATCGAGGTGTCTCTCCTTATGATGCCGTACTTCGAATAAATATCTTAAATCATCAAAGTGTATGTTATGTTGATAGATCGAGCTGCCTCTCCTTATGAGGCCGTATTGTTGATGTGTAGATCGAGGTGTCTCCTTATGATGCCGTATTGTTGATGTGTATGAGGTGTCTCCCGTATTGTTGATGTGTAGATCGAGGTGTCTCTCCTTATGATGCCGTATTGTTGATGTGTAGATCGAGGTGTCGAGGTGTCTCCTTATGATGCCGTATTGTTGATGTGTAGATCGAGGTGTCTCTCCTTATGATGCCGTATTGTTGATGTGTAGATCGAGGTGTCTCTCCTTATGATGCCGTATGATAAATATCGTACTGTTGATGTGTAGATCGAGGTGTCTCTCCTTATGATGCCGTATTGTTGATGTGTAGATCGAGGTGTCTCTCCTTATGATGCCGTATTGTTGATGTGTAGATCGAGGTGTCTCTCCTTATGATGCCGTATTGTTGATGTGTAGATCGAGGTGTCTCTCCTTATGATGCCGTACTTCGAATAAAGGTGTCTTAAATATGAAAGTGTTGATGTGTAGATCGAGGTGTCTCTCCTTATGATGCCGTATTGTTGATGTGTAGATCGAGGTGTCTCTCCTTATGATGCCGTATTGTTGATGTGTAGATCGAGGTGTCTCTCCTTATGATGCCGTATTGTTGATGTGTAGATCGAGGTGTCTCTCCTTATGATGCCGTACTTCGAATAAATATCTTAAATCATCAAAGTGTATGTTATGTTGATAGATCGAGCTGCCTCTCCTTATGAGGCCGTACTGTTGATGTGTAGATCGAGGTGTCTCTCCTTATGATGCCGTATTGTTGATGTGTAGATCGAGGTGTCTCTCCTTATGATGCCGTATTGTTGATGTGTAGATCGAGGTGTCTCTCCTTATGATGCCGTATTGTTGATGTGTAGATCGAGGTGTCTCTCCTTATGATGCCGTATTGTTGATGTGTAGATCGAGGTGTCTCTCCTTATGATGCCGTATTGTTGATGTGTAGATCGAGGTGTCTCTCCTTATGATGCCGTATTGTTGATGTGTAGATCGAGGTGTCTCTCCTTATGATGCCGTATTGTTGATGTGTAGATCGAGGTGTCTCTCCTTATGATGCCGTATTGTTGATGTGTAGATCGAGGTGTCTCTCCTTATGATGCCGTATTGTTGATGTGTAGATCGAGGTGTCTCTCCTTATGATGCCGTATTGTTGATGTGTAGATCGAGGTGTCTCTCCTTATCGTATTGTTGATGTGTAGATCGAGGTGTCTCTCTCCTTATGATGCCGTATTGTTGATGTGTAGATCGAGGTGTCTCTCCTTATGATGCCGTATTGTTGATGTGTAGATCGAGGTGTCTCTCCTTATGATGCCGTATTGTTGATGTGTAGATCGAGGTGTCTCTCCTTATGATGCCGTATTGTTGATGTGTAGATCGAGGTGTCTCTCCTTATGATGCCGTATTGTTGATGTGTAGATCGAGGTGTCTCTCCTTATGATGCCGTATTGTTGATGTGTAGATCGAGGTGTCTCTTATGATGCCCTTAGATGATGCCGTATTGTTGATGTGTAGATCGAGGTGTCTCTCCTTATGATGCCGTATTGTTGATGTGTAGATCGAGGTGTCTCTCCTTATGATGCCGTATTGTTGATGTGTAGATCGAGGTGTCTCTCCTTATGATGCCGTATTGTTGATGTGTAGATCGAGGTGTCTCTCCTTATGATGCCGTATTGTTGATGTGTAGATCGAGGTGTCTCTCCTTATGATGCCGTATTGTTGATGTGTAGATCGAGGTGTCTCTCCTTATGATGCCGTATTGTTGATGTGTAGATCGAGGTGTCTCTCCTTATGATGCCGTATTGTTGATGTGTAGATCGAGGTGTCTCTCCTTATGATGCCGTATTGTTGATGTGTAGATCGAGGTGTCTCTCCTTATGATGCCGTATTGTTGATGTGTATGATCGTATTGTTGATGTGTAGATGTGTCTCCTTATGATGCCGTATTGTTGATGTGTAGATCGAGGTGTCTCTCCTTATGATGCCGTATTGTTGATGTGTAGATGAATGTGTCTCTCCTTATGATGCCGTATTGTTGATGTGTAGATCGAGGTGTCTCTCCTTATGATGCCGTATTGTTGATGTGTAGATCGAGGTGTCTCTCCTTATGATGCCGTATTGTTGATGTGTAGATCGAGGTGTCTCTCCTTATGATGCCGTATTGTTGATGTGTAGATCGAGGTGTCTCTCCTTATGATGCCGTATTGTTGATGTGTAGATCGAGGTGTCTCTCCTTATGATGCCGTATTGTTGATGTGTAGATCGAGGTGTCTCTCCTTATGATGCCGTATTGTTGATGTGTAGATCGAGGTGTCTCTCCTTATGATGCCGTATTGTTGATGTGTAGATCGAGGTGTCTCTCCTTATGATGCCGTATTGTTGATGTGTAGATCGAGGTGTCTCCTTATGATGCCGTATTGTTGATGTGTAGATCGAGGTGTCTCTTATGATGCCTTATGATGCCGTATTGTTGATGTGTAGATCGTTACGTAGATGTCTCTCCTTATGATGCCGTATTGTTGATGTGTAGATCGAGGTGTCTCTCCTTATGATGCCGTATTGTTGATGTGTAGATCGAGGTGTCTCTCCTTATGATGCCGTATTGTTGATGTGTAGATCGAGGTGTCTCTCCTTATGATGCCGTATTGTTGATGTGTAGATCGAGGTGTCTCTCCTTATGATGCCGTACTTCGAATAAATATCTTAAATCATCAAAGTGTATGTTATGTTGATAGATCGAGCTGCCTCTCCTTATGAGGCCGTACTATTGATGATTTTTACGAGGTGTCTCTCCTTATGATGCCGTATTGTTGATGTGTAGATCGAGGTGTCTCTCCTTATGATGCCGTATTGTTGATGTGTAGATCGAGGTGTCTCTCCTTATGATGCCGTATTGTTGATGTGTAGATCGAGGTGTCTCTCCTTATGATGCCGTATTGTTGATGTGTAGATCGAGGTGTCTCTCCTTATGATGCCGTATTGTTGATGTGTAGATCGAGGTGTCTCCTTATGATGCCGTCCTTATGATCTTAAATCGTATTGTATGATGTTGTAGATCGAGGTGTCTCTCCTTATGATGCCGTATTGTTGATGTGTAGATCGAGGTGTCTCTCCTTATGATGCCGTATTGTTGATGTGTAGATCGAGGTGTCTCTCCTTATGATGCCGTATTGTTGATGTGTAGATCGAGGTGTCTCTCCTTATGATGCCGTATTGTTGATGTGTAGATCGAGGTGTCTCTCCTTATGATGCCGTATTGTTGATGTGTAGATCGAGGTGTCTCTCCTTATGATGCCGTATTGTTGATGTGTAGATCGAGGTGTCTCTCCTTATGATGCCGTACTTCCGTATTGTTGATGTGTAGATCGAGGTGTCTCTCCTTATGATGCCGTATTGTTGATGTGTAGATCGAGGTGTCTCTCCTTATGATGCCGTATTGTTGATGTGTAGATCGAGG